AGAAACAGTCAAATGAGGTGTTGTCTTTCTGAACTGCACAAATATTTGGGAAGGGCCAGCTTAGGCTCACCTCTGACCTGGGAAGTGGGGAAGGGACCAAGCGGATGTTCCTCTAAATGGCTCCCCTTGGCCCCAGACATGGTTAGGATTTTCTGTGCTAAGGCATCTCCTGTGTTTTCATGGGGCCACCGTGCCTTGTCCCCAGGACCTACTGGGGGAGGGATATCTGCTTTACTTTTCTGAACTCTTGCTCTTACTCATTCTGGGAAATGTGGGTGCCAACTCTCTTAAGGGATGTGGGATTTGGCTCTTGGTTTCTGCTGAGAGCCAGCATTTCCTGGGACTGAAATCGGGCCAAGACCTCTGTGTGGCACAGCTAATCTCCTTCCTGTCCAGTTCTCAGACCCCCTAGGTGGTGGGGTCAGCAGGGTCAACTTCCTCCCTCTCTTGGCACTAGGGGAACTTGGCTGAGGACAAACCGAAGTCCGATGGCAGCTGGCCCAGCCAGCGTCAACCTGCTCCTTGGTGCAGATTCCCTGAGGAAGGAAGTCTGCTTCTGGGGATAGTGTAGCTGGGATATTTGGTTGGCAGCCAAGGGACCTGCGTTTTAATCCTAGCTCTACTATGACCTTGCTGTGTGATCTTGGGCAAGTCACTATCTCTTTCTGGGTCTCAACAGCTCCATATGTAAAATGAACATGCCAAGACATCTCTCATATTCCAAGACACTAACTGTGATTGCAGGGGAGAGAGAGAGAGAGAGAGAAAAGGAGAAAGAAAATGTATAGGTAAGCACAAGCTTTGGGGAGGAGCCTTCTGCAGCTCAGCAGCCTGGAGCATCCTTCTGAGCAAAGCAATGGATTCGGAATTCAAAGATCACGAAGATTCTTTATTGCTAAAGGGGGAAAGGTCCGAATATTGCTTAGCAAATTACCATCTGCTAGGGGCACCATTATGCCTTGACACAACCATTGGTCAGCAAATTGGTCACATTATTGGTTAGTAAATTTGAGGCTGCAGAATTATTTATTGGCAAATTAGAGATGGCAGAATTATTGGTTGGAGAGGCCAGAATTGCAGCGATTGGTTAGCAAATTAGAGATGCCTGTTTTGGTCTGTGAATAAATCACGGCTGGTCAGGGTATTGGAGGCCAAATTAGAGGTGGCCGGGTTATTTATGGCCAAGCCAGGAAAGCAAAAAGTGCATTTGCCAGGCAGAATGGGGGTCAGCCCTCAGTGTGTGGAGCTACTCTGTGAATGCACCTCCAGGTCGAAGTACTGTGGGCTGGATTCTTGTCCTGCAACTTCCAACTCCCATCTGCATCCCCTTGTTTCCAAAGAGAATTTAAAAGATGTTTGCAGTACTGGGGCTGGTCAGCAGAATAGAGGCTTAAAGTCCAGCCCAAGAAAAGATACGATCAGAGTTGCTGGCTGGAAAGGAAGCTGGGTCCAGCTTAGGAACATGCCCTTCGAAGACAAGATTTCTCACTGTCCTTTGGCCCAGCCTAGGATGGGGTGCCATGGGGCATGAGAAGTCCCTGGCCTCAGGAGCCCAGGATCAAGTTGAAACCCTTCTTCTTTAGGGCTGTGTCCAGACACCAGTGGTCTGGGAAGGCCACTTCTTCTCTGGAAGTTTCCAGTGGTCTCACTCTTTTCTGAACTTTTCCTGTCTATGTCACTAACTACTCAGTTATATTCACCCTGCTTTCTAGTGGATTTTGCCTCTTGTTGAATTTTTCATAGCTCCTCTGCCAGATGAGAAGCTTTTTGAGGGCAGAACTCTTGCCTTGTTTCACTCATGGGGCCTGGCACTGGACTTGGCATGTGTATGTACATATGAAGGACACATGTATGTGTGTATAAATGGAGAGATGGATGAGGAATGGGTGGATGATGGATGGACAGATGGATAGATGGATGATAGATGGATGGGTGATGGATGGATAATGAGCAGATGAATAGATGAATGAATGAGAAATAGGTGGATGAGTGGATGGATGGATGGATGGATGAATGGATAGATAGTGTTTTTAAAGATTGCATAGAAGGGTAGATGATTGTTTTTGATGTTGTTTATAGAAAGCCAGGGATCCCAAAGTGGAGTAACTTGGAGTTTCAGAGTTAGAAGAAATTTGAAGCCATGTAACTCACTCCCTCATATTCCCTAGGCCAAGTTTTTAAATAAAAAATTAAGAGAAATCATTGTCATGCTCACACATCTGGGACCATAAGGGAAAATAAGCCAAGGTCTTCCAGTTAATGATCCCCTCTCATCCTCCATCTAGAGAACAAATTCTACAGAGAACCCTGAAACCGTCTCAGAACTGAATGAGGATAATGGCATCACAGGGAGCTTAGGCCTCCATGGTCATCATAAGCTGAGTTTTATCTTTCTAAAGTGGCAGGACACTCACCTCATCACTTATTCTCACCTCATCCTGGAGAGCAATGTGGTGGGAAGACTTCTCTTCATGTTATAGATGAGGAAACTGCAGGTCAGAGGGAAGGAGTAACTTGCCCAAAGGCCCACAGGGCTAGAATCCAGTTCTCCTGGACCCTGCCCCTGGCAACCCACCACCAGGCAACTGGCCTGCCCCTCTTCCCCCTTCCCAGTCCTCAGTGCTGGCGTGCACACTCCGATGTTAGTATTCATCTCATTACTTGCATTGCAATTTCCTTATTTTATCTTTTTTTTTTTTCTCTCTCTCCCCAACTAGATTATAAACATCTGATAGCAAGGACCATGTCAAGCATCTGTCCCCAGTGAATAGATTCAGGTCAGCACAGTCTCGGTGTTAGCTGAGTAATGAAAACTAAAAGATGATACAATTGTGTCCTACCAACTCAACACAAATACCTCACCTTTGCGGTTTTTAACTTTTCAAAGTTATCCAGTTATCTCATGTATTCCCCAGAAAGGCACCCTGGTGTCATGCAACACTGGTTATTCTGTTAGCCCTCCTCCTGGACTTGTTCTCTGCTCTGTTCTCGGCCTTGAGGTTAATTGTTGGGGACCACATATCCAGCCTCCTTACCCTCTGGCTTCTGGTCAGGCTTGGCTGATAAAGCAGGAGATGAGCAGGTGAGCAGAGAGATAAGGTGGATAATTTCTCCCTGGGTGCCTCCTTGCTTTATTGTTGTGTCTCTGCTAGGAGCTGAATCCTTGCATGGTGACACCTCCCACCAGGTGGCCCTTCCTGCAATTCTAGTTCGCACAGGGAAGCACTACTTTCTCTTCTCCCCTTCAGCCCTAGGGGTGACAACACGGCAAAGCTCTGGGTATGGGGAGCAGTCCAGCACATCCCTTGCTGACTCATTTCACCCTGCAGACACCTCTGCTACTCTCTTGGTCGATGTCAGCTCATTTGCATCATTGGTTGGTGGACAGGCAAGCCCTGGAAACAGATGCCAACATTTGACTTCCTCCTCCCAAGACTCAGCTCTGACAACAGAGGTGTTGATCACATCCCACCCACTTCTTTTCATCTTAGTCTTAACAACCCTCCTCTCTTGGGGAGAATGCGCTTCTATTTCTCAGCTTCCTCCACCCTCGACAACCACCAGCAGCCACTCATCTATGCGTTGTGATTGGGTCATGATAAACCTCAGCCTGTGACCTCCAGCTAAGGATGTCCTCCTATGTCCCATTTCTTATCTCTTAGATGGGGAAAGCATCACTATCATGAGGAATAAATGAAACAATGTAAGTTTAGTGTCTGCTGCATGGAAGGCACTCAATAAATGGGAGATGTATTATCACATTAGTGATAACCATCCCCTTAGTGTTGAACATTTCAGTTATTTCACCTTTTCAGTACCACAAAGAATGCTCTGATGAACATCTTTGTAGATAAAACAATTTTCATGTTTAGTACAGATTGAGTACCTCTTCTTTTTTTTTTTTTTTTTGACAGAGTCTTGTTCTCTGTTGCCCGAGTTAGAGTGCAGTGGTGTGATCTCAGCTTACTGCAACTTCTGCCTCCTGGGTTCAAGAAGTTCTCCCGCCTCAGCCTCCCGAGTAGCTGGGATTACAGGTGCCCACCACCACTCCTGGCTAATTTTTGTATTTTTAGTAGAGACGGAGTTTTGCCATGTTGTCCAGACTGGCCTTGAACTCCTGACCTCAGGTGAGCTGCCCACCTTGGCCTCCCAAAGTGCTGGGATTACAGGTGTGAGCCACTGCGCCCTGCCCAGGTTGAGTACCTCTAATATGAAAATTCAAAATCCGAAATGCTCCAAACTTTGAAACATTTAGAGTGCCAACATGATGCTCAAAGGAAATGCTCAGTGGAGCCCTTCAGGTTACAAATTTGAGATCCTCAACTGGTAAGTGTAATGCCAGTATTTGAAAATCAATCAATCAAACAAACAAACAAAAAAACCTGGAATCCAAATCATTTTTGGTCCCAAGCATTTCAGGTAAGGGATACTCAACCTGTGTTATTTCCTTAGGACTAATTCTCGGCTCCAGTTAAACTGATAGGCTGAGTCGAAAGGTATGATGTTGGTAATTTTGCAAATACAACCAAATCAGTCTTTCAAAACTGCCTCACTGAGTGGGTTTGTTTATTTGTTGACCAAGCCTCACTCAGTGGTGCAATCTCAGCTCACTTCAACCTCCACCTCCTGGGTTCAAGGGACTCTCCTGCCTCAGCCTCCTGAGTAGCTGGGATCGCAGGTGTGCGCCACCACGCCCAGCTAATTTTTGTACTTTTAGTACAGATGGGGTTTCACCATGTTGGCCAGGCTGTTCTCGAACTCCTGGCCTCAAGGGATCTGCCCGCCTCGGCCTCCTAAAGTGCTGGGATAACAGGTCTGAGCCACCGTGCCTGGCCTGAATGGGTTTTAATTGTAGCAGCCACCATGTATTAAGTGCTTACCGTGTGCCTGGCACTGTGCTAAGCACTTTTTGTGGACTGAGCCTCCCCTGCGAGGTAGGTAGTTCATTATCTCTGATTTACAGAACTGAAAACTGAAGTGAGAGCAGTTTGATGACTTACCCTAGGTCTCAAAGTCTCACAATGGAACAACTGGAGGTTGAAATTCAGATCCGCCTGACTCCAAAGCCTCTCCTTTCAACTGCTTGCTGCCCTGTGGCTTTGCTGTAGTGACCTGGTCCAGCCCGCTCTCCCTGGCACCTGCCCTCTGCCCCAATACCTGGGCACAGTGCTCTTCACATGCCCCACCTAGTTGTGGGCAGAGGCCATGCTGGCTCAGATACAGCTGGAGTGGGGAAGCAGGAACTCTCTCCATGCTTCTCCATTCCAGGGTACTTCGGAATCTTACAGCTCAAGGGACATCAGGGAAAAACAGCTTCTTAGAGAGTTAGAACCAGGAGGGCCTTTGCAGTGCCCTGAGGAAAAGATTTTCATGCATGGGGAACCTCCTGGCATTCCCTGGCAGCTTTCCAAGCTAAGCCCCACCCCTTCTGAAGTTGGATAGGCCAGGGCCAAGGAAGCCCTGTGGCCTGAGGACTCCCTGCTTTGGGTGGCCTAGGGGTACAGGGCAAACAGATTGCCCTACATAACTATATTATATACTATATAGTATATATATACTATATATACTATATGCCTTTCTTTACTGCATCAGATTTGCGATGTTCTATAGAAAGGCTCACTGTGTAGATCTGGCCACCAAATCCTTGCAAACCCAAATTGTCCATAGGAGCCTAAATCTACCATGTCCAGTGCCTGGAGCTCCGAGGGGGGAGACCATGGGAGGCTCAGAGCAGTGACTCAACAGAGAAAGAGCCCTGGCTTTTCAGGCTGGAAGTGCTCCCCCTGGAAGCCTCACCCAGGCAACCTCCACTAGGATCTCAGGGCCTTCCAGAGACGCCTTGGCTTCCTGCCTCACTGGCTCGGAGGAGAAGCAACAGGAGCTGCACTGGAGGATCCAGAGAAAAAGTCAATTACTGGGTCACAAATCCAGCTGGGGTAGGAAGCGCAGTCCGTAACTCTGTTCTTTTTCTAGGCTTGGCCGGGTATGTAGGGCAAGGCCGGGCGGGCTTTCCCAGAGCAGCCGGGTGCTGGACATTGACTGTCTGGTGCAACTTTCTGTCACCTTCTCCCACCCGCAGACCTACTGTTGAGAACCAGCCCAGGCATCACTGCAGGAGCCACAGTCTGGGTCCGAATCCATGACGATCTGTAACATGATCCTAGATGTACTGTGTTTGATCTGTGCAGAGTTCAGAAAAATAAGAAATCATGGCCAACCTTTAAGCATTAGAAACAGGTTCATCTGGATTTCTGACTGCTGTTACAAAAAGCCAGACTTGTCCACCCCAGGCACACGCCCTCATGGCAACAGACGTTGGGAACCGAGTAGCAGAAGCTCCCTATAGACAGGGCTTGAACGCTCCCACCAACCACAGTCCCCCCGACACTCTCATCTCTGGACTCGACCAGTTTCTCCCACTGAGGGGCCCTGCCCAGCATTGGGAGGCATTCTACCATCTGACCTCAGCTATATACTAGGGTGGCTGAGAGCTGGCCCTGCCTTCAAGGGGACCGATGCTTGACACGCATCTCTACTATCAGGCAACCCATGGGAAGTGCCATCAGGGCAGGGCAGGAGCACAGACAAAGTGCTGCAAAGTGCTGAGCAGGCTGTGGAATGAGCATTCATACAAAGGGGTCAAGGCAGATCTCATGGAGGAGGGGCGCTAAGCCATGCATTCGGTGACGGTTACAAGGTCAATGGCTGCGCAAGGGAAGCAGTTTCCCAGAAGCCAATAGATACTGGAGTTGGCAGGACCTTTTAGGATAATAAGTCTATGAGGCTAGACGGGGAATGTAAAGGGTCAGGGGACAGACCAGTGATCCACTGTAGGAGAGGTCCTGTGGCTTATAAGCTCTAGCCTTCAGACTATATCTTACTTTGGTCAGAAAAACCTGGATTTTAACCTGGTTCTGCTACTTTCTACATATACAACTTATTCAACTTCTTGACTTCTAATTTTGCATCTGTAAGAGAACTATAATATACCCATCTGTATTGGTTGGCTCAGGCTGCCATAACAAAATACTATAAGCTGAGTGACTCGAACAGAAATGTGTTTTCTCATAATGGTTCTGAAGGCTCCAAGTTCAAGGTGTCAGCAGGTTTCATTCTGAGGCCTCTTCTCTTAGGTAGAACTGCTATCTCATTGGGTGCTCACATGATCTCTTTGTGTGCACTATCTCTCTCTTTTAAATACCTATCAGAGCAGGGTCCCAACCTAATAAACTCATTTAACCTTAATTACTTCCTTGGGAGCTTTATCTCCAAATACAGTCACACATGAATTTTGGAGAGACTCAATTCAGTTCATGGCACCGTCTAATAATTGATGATGGGGATTTAACTGGATCAATATGTAAAGCACCCAGAACATGTTTAGGGCAGAAGCATCAGGATAATAGGGACTGGTGGGGAGTGGGGTGAAGTGGAGAGTACGTGGCCTACACAGCATAAAGCCTAAAGACCAGCTCTACTCAGATCCAACCAATGGTGCTCCCATTGTGGCCACAGCTTTGATTTTTTTCAAGGAGGCTGGAAATTCAGACTTTTACATGAAATTCATAAAATTTAAATATTGGCTCAAATACTCTTAAGCACTGAACAGGTCTAAGAAGAAGGCATGTGCTACCTGGATACAGTCTATTGGTTGTCTCTTTGCAATATCATGCTTGGTATATAGAAGATGCTTGATAAGCATTACTTCTTTTTTCCTAAAGAAGAGAAGCATTTACATGTCACTTGCTTTCCTTGGCATCATTTTTCTGGAAAGAAGCCATGCCTCTGTGAGGCAGGGCAGGACCCCCCATAACACGGACCCCAGACTCCTCTCATTAAAATCTCTTTTTCTGTGGCTACTGTATGGACTGAAGTCTCAGCATTAATACCCCTTTGTCCCACAAAGCACTTTGGTTGGTGAGGTCTCACTGGTGCCAAGCTGGCCCTGGAGTTTACCTGGGGCATGGGCTGCAGAGTGGGCCACCGCATCACAGGACAACAGATATTTTGGTTTTCAGACATTGAACACAGAACGTGAAGCACAGAGATGGTGTCCCTACAGCACGATTAGAGGCTGGAGCCCTTTAGAAAACACCGCCAAGGAAAGGCTTACCAGTCTTTGGAATAACCAAGAACAGTTAAGAACAGGGATGCACAGCTTCCGACAGGAGGTTGCTTGCTCTGCTCCTTGTCATCTCACCCACCCTCCACTTCTCCCAACCTCAGTACCACACGTTAGATGGGCAGTCTTGAGCTGATGGTCCTTTAAGGAATGAGAATATCAGAACAATTCCTAGAGAGGTGATGTCATGTGGAGATAGGCCAGCAGAGGGATGCCAGGTAACATATAGGGTTTTCAGGTAAATATAAATCTCAGATAAACAGTCAATAATTGTTTAACATAAGAAGGTCCCCAATATTGCATGGGACATACTTATACTTAAAAAATCCATTGTTTATCTGAAATTCAAATTTAACTGTTTTTCCTGTATTTATTTTTGCTAAATCTTGGCTAACCTTCAGCTAGTGAGTGAGGTGCAAAACAGAGAGTGGAAAGCAAGAATTTGGATATAAGAGAGGAGTAGATGAGACATAAGAATCCTTCAAGATATTGAGGGTTATGCTAGCTTTCTCACCAATGAGGGAACGAATAATTCAATCGATTGTAATTAAATCTCAAAGGAAAGATGACCATCAGCTCATAGTTGTTTCTCCAAAGATGAATAAAACGTTGTTCAAGTTCAAAAGTGAGCCACACCTTCCAGGAACAGGCAGTCCAGTGGGGAAGGCATCCGACAACGACAGCGCAGACAACATGAGAGACATCTAGATTCTCTGGGGGAAACAAAGGGGGCTATAGGAGCCCATGGGGGGTCCCAAACCAGCCTGGGGCACCTTCAGGCTGAGTCCTGTAAGATGAGGAGATGAGTTGGGCATGTGAGTTCTTCCAGTCAGCAAAGGAGACTTCTCATTCCCATGTCACAGAACAAATCGAGGTCCAGACAAGTTACAGGATCAGCCCAAGGTCCCACCCCTAATAAGTGGCCTGGAAGTGCCTATTGGTTGTCCTGGTTTTGAACCATAAAGCCTGGTTCCTCTTTAAAAAGCTTATGGCGAGCTGGGTGCGGCGGCTCACGCCTGTAATCCCCGCACTTTAGGAGGCTGAGGCAGGCGAATTGCCTGAGGTCAGGAGTTCAAGACAAGCCTGGCCAACATGGTGAAACCTCATCTCTACCAAAAATACGAAAATTAGCCAGGGAATGGTGGCTTGTGCCTGTAATCCCAGCTACTCAGGAGGCTGAGACAGGAGAATCTCTTGAACCCAGGAGGCGAAGGTTGCAGTGAGCTGAGATCATGCCATTGCACTACAGCCTGGGTGACAAGAAACTCTGTCTCAAAAAAAAAATAAAAAGAAAAAAGAAAAAAAGAAAAAGAAGAAGAAAAAAAAGGCCTGCAGAAGTTTCCTGACGTACACAGTTTGATAATAAAGAGAAACTAAGAGAGACAGGTAGTGTATTTCTTGGAGATCCTTGCTAGGTACAGTTGAGCTGGAATAAAATAAAGTCACGGATGTGAGAGGATGGGCAATGTACACTGTAAAGTGCAGTGCCAGCCCAAAAGAGGACTATGCATAGCAGCCTTCTACCTACAGGGTCAACACGCCGGAACAACGCTTCCACATCTACCCCTCCTACCCCTAGCTCTGGTCCCAGAATATTTTGTCCAGAAAGAGAAAATGAGGAGATGTGGTGTTTACTTCTGAAACCAAGGATGAGCCAGACAGTATTGTGCCAGGGCGAGCCTATAGATGCTGAGGCCCCGCCACCAACCTTGAATCCTTCTCAGCCACCTATCAGGCAGCGGCACTTTGCCTCATCTCTCCTGACCTCTGCTTTCCTGTCTGTACGGTCAGCATAATGATAGTTCTCGGCTCACGGATGTTGAGTTAAATGAATTAATACACGTTAAGAACTTACAACACTGTGGGCACATTTTCAGCACAATTTAAGTGCTAGCATCTATGTCTCGAGTTCTTGATTTATTTTTACAAGACACAGGAACAAACATGAAGTAGGAGTTTTCTCATCTATCGGAATGAAACGTCCAAAACCATCAGTCTCCAGTCACAGAAATAACCACAACTAACCCAAAATGTTCAGAATTTCAGGCTCCAGGACCAGGCAGGGGATAGAGAATTTCGCTCCTGGGTAGACTTCAGGCAATCCCGAAGTCATACCGTGTAGGCCTTGACAATGTTTCCCCATGCCCCTCATCACTTGGATTATTTGGAAATGGTGAGTCCTTCAGAAGGGATCCAGCACAGT